TGTTGTTGTTGTTGATCATGGAGCTTGAACTCTGGGCATAGGCACTGTCCTGGCTTACTTTGCTTAATATAATTTTTTCCAAGTTTTTCCATTCCTCATCAATGAGACAGTAACACTCTTCTGAAGATAAGTAGGAAGCCCACAGAATGGAAAAGTATTTTACCCACTATGCATCAGACAAGGTCTTCATATCTAAAATATACTTAAAGCTCTAAAAGTTAGCCTGCTTAAAAAAATAACCTCTCAAAAACAGAACAACCCAATTAATAAATGGGCTAAAGACTTAAAGAGAGATTTCTCAGAAGAAGAAGTAAAAATGGCCAGTAGACACATGAAGAAATGCTCAACATCTTTGGCCATAAAAGAAATGTAAACCAAAACAATACTGATATTCCACCTCACTCCAGTTATCAAAAAAAAAAAAACCTAATAATAACAGATACTGGTGGGGATATGGACAAAAGGGAACTCTTATTACACTGTTGGTGGAAAAGAAAACTTTTTCAACCACTCTGGAAAGTGGTATGGAGGGTCCTCAAAAGACAAAACCTAGTTTCCCTGTGACCCAGAAACTCCAATCCTGGGCATTTATCCTATAGACCACAAACAAGGCCAGACTAAAGCTACCAGCACAACCATGTTCACTGCAGCATTGTTTACCAAGTCTTGGAATGAACCCATATGCCCCTCAGTAGACAAATGAGTCAAGAAAATGTGGAATATATACACAATGGAATTCGCCTCCTCCACCAGAAAGAATGACATTGTGCCTGTATCTTTAATAAAACACCCGATGGGATGAAGGGTTCAGAGTCATCGGAGAGGTGCCATCAAAGCCTTGCCAACTGCAGGGACAAGCCAGTGACAACAAGTAACCAGGTGCCCTGGGGCAACCAGGCGTCAGACAGGCAGCTGGCAGGCCTGGTGCAGCCCAAGTTGTTCACCCAGAGGATGCTCCCTGGGGTCTTGAAACACACGAAGTTGTGGCTTCTCAGAGGAGAGCCGCCGTTGGGAAGTTCCCTGTGCTGGGCAGGAGTTAAGGAAGCAGGTTTGTGAGGGTGGTCTAGGTGAGGTCCCTGGTGTTTAGGGGTCTGGAGCCTGGGGAGGAGCCCTGGGCCCGGAGTGGAGTGCCGGAGTGCCGACCCTGGGGAAGGGCCAATCCGAGACCCAGGTGAGCCAGGGAGCCTGAGGGTTTCCTGCCGACGTCCCCCAGAGGACACAGGGGGCCATGTGCCAGGGCAGCACGGGGAGGGGGGCGGCCCCGCGGACAGCAGGCTCGGGCCGAGCAGCTCCTCGCTGGTGTGCCGCTCCTGTTACAGGCCGGCCATCCAGGCCCGGCTCCTGCCCTTCCCGTGGCCCTGGCGTGCCCGGGGCCCGCGCTCCCACCCCCGGCAGCTCCTCCCCTAGCCCCAGGTCAGCCCCGCCGTTAGGCCCTGGGATAAAAATTAACACAGCCGCCGTGATCCGAAGCTGCAGAGGCCGGTTCTAGAAGGATAGCAGCGGAGCCGGTGCCCACACCCTGGGCGCGCCAGGCCTCCGGCAGGTGCCCCGGCCCCCGGCCTG